GCCACCACTAGAAACAACAAGAAAACAAACTGTTGGAAATTCATCGAATTGGATGAAATAAGACACAATGAAAAGGTCCTAATGAAATACCTGGCACAAGATGACGAGTCAAAAGAGAACATTAGTGACTTATTTTATTTGTAAAACACTCTTCATACTGTTTAATTCTTTCTGGTGACTTCTGGTAGCCTGAATCCTCTGCAGCCACCTGACTGGATGACGTAGTCCTTCAGCAATGAACTCAGCTCTCCGTCTGCATTGATTGCATTACTCAGGTGTCTTGGACTGATCTTCTTCTTATTTCCATCATCATGGGCCATTATTTTCCCTCCATCCAGCAATTCCAGGATAATGTACGCTAGAGCAGATGACATCGCAACCTGTGCGTCCTTTGAGACCCTCATGTACGTGGTGTGCTTCATAATTCTCTTAACCTGTGTCAACTTAAAGAACATTCTGTTTTTGTCTCCAGATGATGTCTTCTTTACGTCTCTCTTTCCACTCTTTCCTGGCATCTTGGGGTAACAAAACACGCTGTTTTTATATGGAATTTTGGAGGGAAAGACGTCATAATTATTGAATTCAGTTTCACCAAAAAAACGTCTTAGAAGCATGTTATTATATGATATGTGTATACTTTGTTTACCATAGTACACAACAAATCACATTCCATAACTAAGCTATCATAATTTGACACAAGGTAATAATCATTAATATATCAGTATATAATTAAACCTGGGTGAATATCATAATGAAAGGTGTTATTTTGTTTTATATCAGTAATGCGTTTATTTATCACAACAAACAACCCATATGATAAAACTGATTGAAGTATTCAATGAAATATCCACCAAAATCATGATTCATTCAACAATGCTGATAGTCAAAAACACACTCTTGTATTTGTTTGCCCAGCCAGAAGTATGTAAGATATCATCACAATTCAATCTCTACATCTCAGTCAAAGTTGGAAGTATCATGTTCTTCAATCTTATGATATTTTTGGAGTTCATGAATGCCCTGATCAACGTAAATGTCCACATTTATGGCAGCACAATCATTACTCTGATGTGTTTCTATGGAGTAACAGTATTAGATTGCATCATACTCGTCTATAACATGGAAAAACACAACAAGTCGATTAACTATTTGCTCATGGGATTATTTTTGACTATAATTATAGTTGAAATGGGAATGGCATTGGAATTTCATAGAAACATCAGTTATGTCTCACATAGATTGATCTCAAAACTAACAAATGACTCAATAGTCCTAGATGCGTACAATAAGAGACAGAGACTTGCAGGAATGTACATGACATTCATATTCTTCCTTACTGTGAACATTTTGACCTTGTTCTACGATGTCACGAAAAGTGAAACAATAACACCGGTTAAGAAACTCAGCATTACGTGGCTAGAAGGATTCTTATACGATTACATCAGGTTACTCCACATAACAGCACTAGCATTTATGGTTCTGCTTTTGGTTTACAGACTCAATGATGAGTTTATGCTTCAACGTGTATTGCTCAAGTTTATGGTAATGATATAGTTGAGTTGTGCATCATTATTGTTATTGATCAATATTATCTACGGAAACACGGATATATTCTATATCAGTAGTGTATTGTTGGCCAATTTTGTCTATGGAATATATGCGATCTACGTGATATTTCAGGAAGCAAATTCATTGAATACTGGACTAAAAGAATGCCTTAACAAGTCAAACAAAGATTTAAAAATACGAAAGAAATTGGCGTAACACATAGATATTAACAATTGATTTATTGTTTTAGCACCCTAATCTCATGTCTTCAATTAACAGGAAAATCCTTAAAATATTCTGTATCACACAGATATCACTCTTTGGATTGAGTTACCTGACACGAATGACTGTTCAAAGGTTTGATAAAGCAGAAAGTGCGTCACCTCTCAAACATTTGATATCGTGGGATGCCATGCACTTTGAACAAATTCAAGAACATGGCTACTTTTATGAACACAGTATGGCATTTTTCCCACTACACATGAAAATAGCAAGTATTGTAAGCTGTTACATATTCAATAAGACTGTTGTATCAATTGTATTGAACAATGTGTACTTTTTGATATCGGCACTATTGATCTACAAAATAGTACTGATTCTGCATAAACCAGATGAAAATAAGCATAAAACAAGCATATTTGCCCTGAAAACAGCAACATATTTCCTACTGAATTCAGCCAGTGTAATTTATTCAACAATCTACACAGAATCACTCTTCACACTGCTGTTTCTACTTGGATTCTACAACTACCTGAATGGATCCAGTGTTCATTCTGCATGCTTATTCAGCTTATCAACTCTCTGTAGATCAAATGGAATTGCATTTGTGTGCTTTCTGAAACCATACTGGATTATTCCATTTATGGTTCCATTTGGAATATATCAACTGTTCTGTATCTTATTGTACTGGAAGAATAACTGCAATTTCACAATAATCATTCCATACAATTTCATACAGAAGACATATTGGAATCAGGGATTCCTAAAATTCTACACCTTGCAACAACTTCCAAACATAATCATTGGGTTACCAAGTCTTCTACTCGCATCATACAGTCTACACAGTTTCAAGTTCAATAGACTCTCCGCTCTTCTGATGTTTAAGTTGCTCATGACAGTAACAACAATTCACTGGAATATGGCAGGCAGATTTCTTGCATTTCATCCTCATATACACATGTGCATGGCTAAAATCAGTAACAGATATGTTATATACGCATTTCTCACACTTAGACTGCTATACATAATCATGTTCAGTGCATATTATCCACCAGCCTAAAATAAATCAGGTTTCAATAACAAAAATATTGATTCTAACCCTAATAAAATGTTTTTTATTTATATTCTTTTACTAATACACCTGTCTTTACCCTTGGAACTTGACTTCAACATATTTCTCTACCATTTTATCACAATATATTTCCCCTTATCATAACAATCCCCTAATTGATCATGCTAAAAACAGTTTTGAGCTTCAAAAATGGGTTCCCTCTAATCAAGATATTCTGCAACAACCTGATGTACACCAATAACAATCCAATCAGATTCCTACTGACATATTACTATTTCTTTGCAGCCTGTTTCGCTACATTACCAGTAGTCAAAATCCAAAGATACCAAATGTGCATCGTAGGCGGAATCAGCTCCACAGTTCTGGTCGAGTTCCTGATATTCGTTTTTGATGGTGAATCACGAACACATCCTGCTCTCCATATTGTGATGCTGATCATTATTTCCCTACTGATCTACATCAAAATAATCTCTCTTGTGATTGGAATTGCATCCTGGTCATTTATGCTAGCCATATTTCTCTCACTCATCTTCAGGAAGTCGGTGCTTCTCATGGCCTTCTTCCTGTTTCTGGTTGGAATCTTCCTTGAATTCGCTTCAAAAGAAATCAGCCTGAATTTATTCATGAACAAGACACTGATACTTGCACTTGGTGTCGCAATGGTTGTCACAATCAACATTCCAGTCTACAGCTTCGTCAACCTGAATATTGCTGTTCTGCCCTGTATTCTAATCAGTGCAATAATATTTAATTATATCATGGATATGGTTGTGATACAGCTGATTAAAGAAAGAAAAAGACGAATAGAAGCAGCACGAAGACATCATCAACATTATTGACATTCTATCAATTATTTCTTAAAGTTCTTTAGCACAAAAATGCAGTCTTCAATGTCCTTCACAATGTGCTGCTCTGTTTCACTTGCTTCACCCTTGCAGTCTTTCGCATTCACTGCCCTATCGTAGATCTTTTTGACATTTTCACGAATTTTCCCTAGAAGTGGCTTGTAGGTTGCATCTGCGTCCTTGTGGAGCTTCTCTATCGCATTCAGGTCGCAGATCCGAATGGATTCGTAAACATCCACGACATAGGCGTAGTTGTTAGGCTGACTCAAACACGTCTGTAGCAGTGCGTAGTACTGTGCGAACATCTCCCTAGACAAGTAGTAGAGGAGTGCAATGGTCTTGTAGAAGACCATGTTCTTGCTGCCTGTGTTGCAATACTGTCCAAAATATGCCAGAAACTTGCTGTAGTCCTTCTCCCTAACTGCTTTGTCCATTTGTTTCTCCATGCTTTCTGCTGCCATGGGCTAATAAGAATGTGTTCTAGAAGAAACCATAACACATTTTAGAACACATTATGGTAGTCTAACTAACCATTAAATTAACCTTACATCTTTATTTAGTTGAACTCAATTGAATTTAGCCAGGTGATCTGCTGCCTTCTCACAGAATTCCCTATGTGCCTGTGCTATCTTCATAATGATTCCATTTATCATAGACAGATGCATGAACTCAGTCATATCAACAACGACTTCCTTTGCATTCTTCGTAAACTTCTTTTCCAATGCCTCTTTTTCCTCTTCTTTATAGACATTGGATTGCACCAACTCCTCCAGATCGTATCGCGTATTCTTCACAGTCGTACGCTGGTGATCAATATGCCTACACTTCTTCTTCAACACAGCCAACTCCTCTACAATGTCACTCATCTTCTCGTTCATCTTTCGCTTATCAGCCGCAATACCCTCGTAGGAGGCAGAGAAGTCGCTACAGACCTGTTTCAGATGCTTGTCACTCACGCTATTGGCCAGCTCCATTCCAACAAATGCCGTATCCGTGTATATGTCATCCCGCCTCAGCGACTTTATGTTTGTGCTCTTTCCCAACGTGGTGCTCCACGAACTCAAATTCTTCAAAATGGTTCCACCAAACTCGTAGTTCGAAAGCCCCTTTGTTACGCCCTGTAACACGCTGATCTCGTCACGTACCTTCCTGTAGCGTGTCTCTACGTCATCGTATCCCTCAGGCAGCTTCGTGTGGATGTAATCAATCTTCTTCATTTTTCTCTCAATGTATCTCTTTGCATCCTGCATCATAAAGGGGACCAAACAAAACTATTTCACCCCTAAATTATGTCTGACTCATTTTCCACGTTTATGTCCTTGTAGTACATTTTCATCTGCTTCCTCAGGTTATCGCTTGTATTTCCGTCTTTGACCTCGTTCAGCTGATCATCCAACTTCTCAAACTTCTTCTGAAGTCGATCAGTGCGATCCATCATTTCACGAAGAGTCGTTGTCGTATGGAACGACCTGATTGACTCGCCTGAGTCCACGTCGAAGATGTCTGTCTTCTTTGGCTCAGTCTTATCCGCCAGAGTGTGCAACATCGACAGCTTTTCTGTCAATTTATCAATATCGAGATTGTTTCCTACCCTACCAAAATCATAGTCATTTTTCTGGGTGTGTTTTGGCTCATCGAATCCACCAAGAAATCCTGGCTCATTTTTGTACTCAGTGGGCAAGACAGGTGGATTCTGTTGTGGGGTGACTGTATCGTATTGGCTTAGTCTGTCCTTGAATTTGTCTGTATCAAACTGCTTTCCGTAGTATCTTGGAACGTAAGGTGCTTCTACTTTATTCTTGGTGGCCGTATCATTCTTCATGGCTGCATAGCCGTATCCACCACTAACTCTGCTTTTGATTGGGCTGTTTATGGTCTGTTTGATGAATGAGAACTTGTCTGCTATTTCATTTTGCCTTGTTTTGTATAACGGGATAGTTTCTTTTCGTTCTTTCTCTTTTTCTGCATTTTTAGCCATATTTTCTATTTTAGCCTTAAATTCCCTATTTGCCTTAGTCAACTGTTCTATTTTATTGTGCAATCTCACAGTATCATCTCTACTGTCAACCCTACATAACTCATCATCCAGACGTTCTCTCAGGTCGTCTGCATCTTCCTGCATCTTCTTAATTTGCACCTTTTGCTTCTTAATCCTCTTTCTGTACTTCTTTTTCTTCTTTTCAAAGACCCCAGTCAAATCCATTCCTTCCTTGGCGTATTTCTCACTTTGAATTATTTTGTTCAGCTGTTTGTTCAAATACGCATTCTGCTCATTCAGGTTCCTGTTGATTCCCTCGTAGTATTTGGCACTGTTGCGATTCTTCTCATTCTCTGCCAGGTGCTTCTTGCTCTCAGTCAGCATCTTCGATAACTCCGAATTGCACATTGCAAGATTCTTCTCCTTCGTAGCCAACTTCTTCTCAACCATCTCCAGTCTCCTCTCATATTCAACAACCTTGATTTTAGCAGCTGAATTCCTGTTTTCTTCCTCCCTCTTCTCATTCAGCAGCTTCTTCAGTGCCTCTTCCCTCTCATTCGCAAGCTTATTCAGCATCTCCATCTCCTTGTCGTATGAACTGTATCTTTCAGTTGCCCTGTTTCTCAACTGCTCCATTTCCTCCATCTTCAACCGAGACATCTCCACCTCCCTCTTCTGCTTCTCCGAATTCACGTGCAACTCAGCCATCTTCTGTTTCTGGTCCTGAATGATTCTGTTCAATTCAGCCACATTTGATACCTTGAATTCCACGTCACTTTCTAGTTTCTGTGCATAGAACCTATTTTTCTGACTATTTTGCTCTGCCTCCAACTTCTCCCTGTTCAACCTCTGATTCTCTTCCAGCAGCCTGTTCTTCTCCACCACACTCTTCCTCAGTGTCTCCAACAAACTCTCATTCACCATATTAATGCGTATCTCATTCTTTAGTATCGCATCTCTAACTCCCTCCTTATTTTCCAATTTCAGGCTTGTGTTTATTTCATTGTATGTCTGCTGCAGAGACTCCAGCAGGTACTGTAGGTTACTACTCTTTTCTGCTATTGGCTCTACCACATTCTGTGACACACTCTTTCTTCCTCCAATGAAATCCTGTATTTCCCTGTTTATTTTGTCGTACTCCACCATTGGGGATAAATTTACCAGGAATATTTCACCTACTGCAATAAAATGGAATGAATCACACAATTCCCTCAATAAGCAAGGAATACAGTCAAATAGCAGTTATTCAACTTCCCTACAAATATTTCACCCAATGGCACATAAAAAGAGAATGTCAAAACGAGTCTCAACCAGAAAGAGGGAGAAAATCAACAAGAAAGTCAAGGAGCACTACCGAAAGAAGAAGAGGGAGCAGAAAGAGAAGAAGGGCGTACCACGATCAGTGTTGATGACGACAGAGCACAAAGCGCATCTCAAGAAGATCAAGGAGGATACGGAAGCAAGAACACAGGCGTATTACGAGGCAGAAAACATGAGTAACTTGTAGTGATCAATAAATTATTCCTCAGAATACGCGTAGAATGGTAGATTTGCGTAAAACTCGTAGAACAAGTCGAACATCTCCAGCGTCTCATCATCTGACTCGAAGTAGGCGAAGAGTGGACACGATTCCACCCCGTCTTTGTAGGTGAGTTGCATGGCGCCCTCTTCCCTTGCCATGAAGCCGAATGTCCTCTCCAGCCGCGTCTGCTCCACGTACGGATTCTCAAACAAGTCGACTGTGACTTTTATTCGGTAGTTTTCCAAATATTCCGCCTTGATGAATTTGATGAATTCACAGTCGTAGCACTCATCTTCTCCTACGACGACCACAGGGAGCTTGGAGTGGATTTCCGGGAAGTTGTCGAGTGCCGCCGTCATCATCTCCCTCATCTCGTCCTCCTCCATCTTCTGGAAGAGGGAGTCCCTCTCCGCCAGAATCCCCTCATTCTGCTTCTGGAACTCCATCTTCAAGGCGTACTCCCGCTTCAAATACTCGTTGAAGTTCCCTTCAACCTCTTTCTGGATCTGCTGGATCTTCCTCTTTGTCTCTGCGTCAGCCATGGGCATTTTCACCACTTTTTCCTTCTACCCTTTTTCTACCAGAACAAGTCTCACCACTTCCCATTTCCTTCTAGAACACTTTCCACTTCCAATTTCCTTCTAGAAACTTTTTAGAATAAATTTTTTGTTTGTTAGAAGGGTATGTTCAGAATGCTATGCGCATTGTATACGCTTGCCACCTGCACCGAGCAAACCAAGTCGCCTGTCTACGTTGGAATTGACCTGGGAACCACGTTCTCGTGCGTCTCGCTCTTCAACCCGAAGACTAAGCAGTATGAGTACTTGCACTTTTCAGGTGACAATCCTGAGACTGTCCCATCTGTCGTCTACGTGGACGAGGAGAAGAAGGACGGCGTCTCACGCGTCCACGTCGGCTACGACGCAGTGGCGCGAAACCGAGAGAACCCGAATCCGTCGAACTACTTTTTTGGATTCAAGCGCCTTATGGGAATTCCCTACGGTGATAAAATTGTGAAGGACTTCAGGGAGTCAGTCACGTACCGATGCATGGAGTTTGTTCCAACTCGTGGCGCCGAGCCAATTGTGGTGTTTCCTGCCCAGCACAGTGACAAGTCGGCCACGAACTACTCTCCAACCGACCTGTCTGCCCTGGTGCTAGGGAAGATCTTTTCGATGATCACGAAGACCCACGAAATCATTGCCACCGTTGTGACCACGCCTGCCTACTTTTCGGTGAACCAGGACACTCAGACGCGCCTTGCTGCCGAACACGCTGGCTTCGAACGGGTGACGATCTCAAAGGAGCCGACTGCTGCGTGCATCGAATACGCGCAGACTGGGAACATGCGCCTGGACGTCGAGGAGCGGATCCTCGTCTTCGACCTGGGCGGAGGCACCTTCGACATTTCGATCGTGGAGGTCGAGAACGAGAAGGAGAACCAGAAGTTGAATTCGAGCATCACCGTGGCCAAGTACGTTGGAGACAACTTCCTGGGCGGAGAGAACGTGAACAACGCGCTCTACGACCACTTCAGGAGGCAGATTGGGCGGGAGCTGACTGGAAACGAGGCACTGCGACTGCGCCTGTTTGTGGAGCAGCTGAAGATCCGCGCATGCACCGCCTTCGCAGGCGACTCGTCTGCGACGGTGAAGGAGAAGTTCTTCGACCGAGACGGAAAGGAGTTCGTCTTCGCGCTGACTGAGCCGCTCTTCGACGAGCTGGCTGCTGCCGTCTACGGGCGAATCGACGAGCTGCTCTTCGACAGGCGAATTGGGCTGTTTCGCCAGGACAGCGACAAGGAGGCCCTTGACAAACCAGTGAAACTGGGCGAGATTCAGAAGATCGTTCTGGTAGGCGGATCAACGCGTATTCCGTACATCAAGCGATACCTGAAAAAGAAGTTCAAGGGCGCATCGATCCACGACGAGATCGACGCAGACAAATCGGTGGCAGCTGGCGCATGCAAAATGTGCGTGAACGCAGATGCGTCATCGGGCGAGCAGTCCGTGATGCTGCTGAATGCGACGACTCTTCCAATTGGAATTGCAGTCCACGATGGATCATTCAAGGCAGTGATGAGGAAGGACGTGGTGATTCCAACTGAGGCGTACGAGATATTCTCAACAGTCGAAGACAACCAGACCAGAATCACCCTTCAGGTTGCAACGGGGGTGAGGCCGCTTTTCAGCCAGAACCACCACATCGGCACGTTCGAGCTGGAGCTCAAGGAGCCACGGCCACGAGGAGTCCCACGAATCGAGGTTCGCTGCTCGATGTCGGCTGAATACGTTTTGACGGTGACTGCAACTGATTTGGATACGACGGTGTCGTCATCGAAGGTGTTTCAGGCCAACTACGTTGGAACAGATAAAAAGATGGTACAGGAGATATTGGAGAATGCAAAGAAGCACGAGACAGAGGATGCAGAGACAAAGGCACAGTTGGAGCAGATGCACCTCTTTACAAGGGCAGTGGAATTGTACGAGAAGCAGTTGAAGGATGCAACTGGTTTGAGTGAAGATCAGAGACTGAAGTTTGAGACTACGATTCAGACGTACAGGGAGTGGCAGAAGGAGAACAAGGACAAGGTGAAATCAGAGGAGATCGAGTTCCAGATCAGGGAGTTGGAGAAGGAAGCAAAGGAGTTGGCTGCAGCAGTAGCAGAATCAAAGGAGGAGAAGAAGGAGAAGGAGATGCTGTAGTTGGAGTGGCTGATCAAATAAATGGTTATTTTACTCAGGCTATTCCTCGTGGATTTGGATCAGTTTGTTTGATTCAATTTGGTAGGTTGTGGAACCAGAGGCTCTTTCGAGAAGAAGGCGGCTTTCGAGGATGGACGCCCTTTTGTGGCGAGGGAGTCTGAATTTGACCAGGACGTGTCGGTCTCGTGACAGGTAGAGGAAGGTGCTCGTTGCAAGGGCACGGTCAGGCTGTGGGGATGGCTGTGGGGATGGCTGGGAATCGAGATCTACGTCAGATTTCAGGCAGAAGAGGGTTTCAGTCTCAAATGAACTGGTTAGTGCGTTGGTGTCAGATTTGTTCGTATCTTTTATGGCTAATTCGTGATCATTTGATGCAATAACAAACTCAGCCACCACCTTGTCACGCGTCAGATCGTAGAGGTGGAGCAGTGACTCAGTGAGAACACAGAGCGTATTGTCCAGAATAACATGGGATTCGTATCCACTGCTGTACTCAAAGAGTCTTCTGGACTGAGACGTGTTCTTGTGAATCATGTATGCAACACTGTTGCAGAATACAAGCCAGTACGTCTCTTTTTCCTCCCCATCTACTATTTTGTGTGGTATTCTTAGTCTATGAATGCATTCGTCATTCTTGTTGAATATTTTACTGCCTCTTATGTACGAATTAGAGCATTCTACCAGTTTGACGTCTCTTGGCCTAGAGGCCTTGTTGTCTGTGTTTCTACTGGTATTACTTGCTTTCATGTTTATATTTAGCCCATTTATTTCAAACTCATTTCCACCTCTGAATACGCAGATTCGTCCTTCTTTCACAGTCAAGTTTTCCATGGGCTACAAAAGTTTCATTCTGGTAAGTTGCTCTGGTTTCCTTGTTCCATTTCAGCAAGCAGCTCCTTAGCGTGTATCACATCCTCAACGTATCGGCGACAGAGAGTGAATTGAACAGCCAGTTTGCAGAGAGCTGGATCATCGTAGATTTCAAGGCGCTTGATTGTTTTATCAATCATCCTCATGAATCTGTGATCACATTCAAGTGTCCCATCATTCAGAGACTGCTGTATTTTGGAGAGTGTTTCCTGGTATATTGTGACATCAGCGGGGAATATCTCCTCATTCTTGAACAGATGGGCGTATTTCATGTTTTTGGTTGAAGTGGATGTTTGTTCATCTGTCTCTGTTTCACGACTCATTAGGCTGTTTTGCCTATTTGCTGCATGTAGTGCCCTGTTTTCTCTACGGAGGTCTTCAACCTGTTTCTGATACGTTGCTGTCTTCTTCTGATACTGCTCAACCTCATGTGTCTCTTTCTCCAGTCTAAGAATCTTCTCATTCAACTCGTCCTCTTTCTCTTTAGCCAATTTCTGTAAGTTACTCAAATTATCCAGTGATTTGTTTCGTATTTCAACACTCTCATTCTTCAATCGTTCCAATTCCTTAACCAACCTGACAATCTGCTCATTCAAGTTGTCTATTTCTCGCATCTGTTCACCTTTCTCCTTCTCCAGCGGTGCCACGGTGCTTCTTCTCATTTTTTCCATCTCATCCTTCAGTCTTTCTATTTCCTGTTTGTACGCATTGGTCACCTTGTTGTGTCTATGATTCTCTGCTCTCTTGCTTTCAATCAGTTTCTTCTGCTCTGATATCTCCAGGTCCTTCTCTTGAATACTCTTTTTGTTCTCATTCAGTCTTTTTTCTAATTCACCTAGTTTTGTATTGAAATTGTTCCTGAGCTCTTTTTCTTTTAATGCAACTATTTCACCCTGCTTTTTGGTCAGGTTCTCTTTCAAGCTGCATATTTCCTGACTGGATTCGTTTTCACGTATTTCCTGACTCGTCTTCAACCTGGCTATTTGATTCCTATACGACTCAATCAGTGCTTCAGTCTTCTCATCATTCGTGATACTGGCTTTCTGCTTATCAATCAACTCATCTTTGGTCTTGATCAATTCCTTGTTTGCTTTTGATAGCTCCTTGTTCTCAACTTCTTTGCTGTTGATTTGCTTCTTAACCCTCTCCAACTTCTCTTCCAAGTGCTTCACAACCGATCCAATCTTCTCATTTTCTTCTATTAGTTTTTCTGCCTTATTTTTATTATCAGAATTCTCCTGGGTTATTTTCTTGTTTTCTTTTTCCATTTCATACGCATGTCCCTGTGCTTCTTCCAAAAGTTGCTCCAACTCATCCGCCTTCTCTTCCATGCACCCCAATGCTTCTTTGATCATCTTCACTTCCTCAGTCAGCTCTTCCTTCTCTTTATCTCTCTCCTTCATCTTAATCATGATCTCATCCAGGTTCTTCTTAGACCCCTCCTTCAGAAGTTGCTTCAAATTCACCACCTTTTCCTCAATTCCGCCTATTTCACCCTCGAGTTTGCTATTTTTGGCCTTAATTTGTTCATTTTCCCGTTTAATGGCCTCATTCTCACTTGTTACGTTGTCAACCAGCTCTCTCAGTGTCTCAAAATCCGTATTATTCTCCTCCAAGTCCCTAGTCAACTCATCAACACTCTCCTGTAGTTCCTTTACCTCATCTTTGAACCTTTTTATGGTTGCTTCTTTCTCCTTGCCCTCCTTCAGACTGTTCTTCTCCAATTGGACTATGCTATTCCACAGGGACTTCTTGCATTCCAGGAACCTTTCTTCCTGTCTCTTCTTCTCAGCCACAAACCACCTATAAAAACTATTGACCAAATCAGCAACTATCTCCACCTTATTCTCTCCAGAAAGCGCCGTCTTCTCCTGCGACTGCCTCTGCTCAAGCAGATCCTCTACCTCGCGTATCAGTTTAGACAGCTTCTCAATGCTCTGCATGTTTTGTTTTGAAAAATAAAATTTAAAACACCATAAACAAATATATTTATTTGCAGACTACTCCTTGTTTATTCTCGTCTTGATCTCATCAAATACGGCCCTATTGTTCTCTTGTCCTGCCTCATAAAACGCCCTGAATTCCTCTGCATCCTTTTCCTTCTCAAATGTTGCAAAATAGGTCGTCCTCTTATAGTTCACTTCTGCATCACTCTTATCATCTACTGCAACCCAAACATACGAGTTTGGAACTGATACTGCCTTGATCAGCTTCGCTGATGGAGCAATGTAGTGATCTGCTCCTTTCAGCATCAAATTGTCTCTCACCATCATTATTTTGTGTAGTCCTGATTTGGTACCCATTATCATAAGCATTCCTGATCCCCTGGTCTCAAGCTTCCCGGTTGAAGGGAGCAGGAAGTAGAGCTTAGCGCGCCTGACAAAGAGAGACGAACTCTCCACCTTCTTTACCAGATCAGCCTGTTGCTTCTTGAAATAATTTATGTCCTCTTCGTCTTGTTCTTTTGATGCAGTCTCATCCTTCTTTTTTACTAGAAATGGCGACTTTGCTGATCCTGCTATTTTCCCTTTCTCTCCTTCTTCTACCTTCTTTTCCACCTTTGTCTCCGATACGCTTTCATTTACGGAAACACTCTCAGTCTCATTTTGCTTCTCTTTCAATTCGCATTTCTCAGCCATGGGCAAATTTTTGGTCACTTTCTCTTCAACTTCTTCATAACCAGAATTCCAATGAGTACCAGCCCAAATACAACTAAAATTGCAATACTCAATGGCACAACCCACTTCTTCTTGCTCCCACCCTCTGTAGATGACTTTGATTCTGCTACCACATCCTTCTTCTGTCCAAACTTGTATTTCGTCAATATAATGTCCTTCTCCTTCTTCTGTCTCATAATCAGCTCCTCTAATGCATATGGCTCATAATCCGTGTCAAACTGACACCTCATTTGCACCAGTGCCTTTAGTCTCTGGTATTCTTCATCCTTCTCATCAACTGCCTTAAATGTCAACATGGTGTCCAATGCATCCATCGGATTCACATTCCCTGTATTCTTTATTGTATTGTGAATCATTGCCTTCAAATCATCAAATGGAATCAGTGTTCCACCTCTCACTGACACCACTGGCATTGTCATTTTCCCAAAACCAACATCCCTAAACTGTATATTCAGATTATTGAATATTTCACCTATGTGTGTCTTATAGTTGCTCTCGCTCTTCTTCTTGCTGTATAGAATCAAACAGTCTCCATTTACACTTACAGTTGCAAATAATGTCACTAACACATGGTTATCCAGCACTGGTACGAATATTCTACAGTCTTTTGAATCTGTACCAGTGAACATCTGAATCAGATTCAACGGATCATTCTCCTCCACAATCTGTAACTCCTGTACACAATTGTTCTCAAATGCGTATTGGACAAACTCATTGTACTGCTGCGTCAGTTTCAGACACTGTCCACATGCCCTATGCTCGTTAAATGTTGCATTTCTTGGCAGCTGAACACGCATTGTCTTTGCTTCCATGTAGACCGTGTCTGATTCAACACTACTGTTCATTCCTTGCGTGTATCTGGCTAGTTCAATCACCCCACATCCATTTCTAAGTCCAGCTGGACTCTGGCAGACATCCACCTTCTTGTCTATGACGAATGTGACATTCTTCAGATTGCTGTTCTCCAAGTCAATCTCTTCAAAGTAGCCAATAGCGCATTCTACTCTTTGTATTCCAATAAAGTCTAAAACCCCTAAATTCATAAAGGGCTAAAAACTGATTGTTGTATTCGTGATAATCAACCCCTAACAGTCATGAAAATGGTAGTGAACTAAGTTGACTACAAGCATAATTATTGGACTACCAATTTCAATATCGTATTCCAATAGCAGGTGATGCCCTAGTGGTGACACAAAACAGTGTTTCACAAAAGAAATAAAATATCAGGCATGGAATAAGCATGCAGATCCTCTTTCAGCTGAGCCACGTTGCTGCGATAGCCATCCCTTCCTTGTCTAGGTTTAAGCCAAAGGAATTAATCACAAGGAAGCCAAGTGAGACAACCGTATACAACGTAAAGGTGATTGCACCTAAGGCGTATGCAGATTCGTACGAGATGACGCACGAGTCACTGGGCGTCGATCTCCAGAAGATCACGAAGGAGGTCGAGAACCAGATGAACAGCTCAGTCCGCTTTGTATCAAACGACATGCGCCTGAAAATCAACCTCGAAAGCCCAGCAAATCACCCAATCACAGACAAATTGGACAGCTCAATTTGCGAGGGATCGGTCTCAACCGTAACAAATCTGCTGAATGAAATCAACAACATCGACGCTGCTTCCCACTACATCGTGCTGCTTCCTTGCTCCCCTATGAATTACACGAAGGTCTTTGAGTCGATTCATATAGACGTTCCAATCATCCATCACTCACTGAATGTGCAATGTACGAGTCGAGTTGCAATCTTCCAAGAGACGAAGTACGACAACCTGATGGCTACGTTTGGAAATGCGCTGATTCGCGTTCTGGGAAACAGGGGCGACACGTATTCGAAGTTGAATACGCTGAATTCAGGAGACAGCGGAATCAAGGTGTCAATGACCATCAACGAGGACACAATCCACGAGATACTGAATTCCAAGTGCTTCTTCAACATATTCAGCGTGGCATAAACGCATTCTACTGAATAAGATCTCTGAAAGAAACATTAATTAGAGCATAAACAATCACGTTATTCAGGCACATCGGTTTCATCCGATTCAACTTCGTCATCTTCGACTTTCTTGATCGTAGTGGCGTATTTCTGAGCTGGACCAGGCTGTTTGATGATGTAGTTTGTTGGCTGAAGGTGAGGGACCTCTTTTTGCTTCAATGACTTTTGGTTGAACTTCCAGGGCTCAACTTCGCCCCATTTTGTTTTATCGATTTTGAGTTCGCGTCTCACTTCTTGTAGCTTCTTTTCTGTTTTATTATTCTCCACTTTACTGCTTGTTTCATCACTCGATATCGATTGCTCCTTCTTACTGTAATTTTTGAATTTCCTTACTCTCTTCGTCTTCCTGCATTCTTCAAATATTTCGTCCATTTTACCTGCTTTCAATCTCAGCCCCTTCTTCCTTCTTCTTTTTGTATCAGTCAAATCGGGCACTTTCTGTTCAAGCAGATTGCTTAGAAACTCGTTCAATGCATTTGCAGTCACTCCAAACAGGTCTTCATTGAATATATTGGCGTAATATCTACCTTGACATGCCTTGATTCTCATATGGCTCTCTAGGTCACTTGTGACTGCGCCTTTTCGTGTGGAAATGAATAGCAGTGTCGTATTCTTCACCGAGTTGTTTCTGACTCTGCACCGCATGTCACTGCGTCCAGCACATCCAGCCAGTTTCTTGTACTTCATTCGATATTCCCCATAGAAGAGCACCTCCTTCACCTTCAGGTTCAATCCCACATCTTTCAATATTTTCTGGTTGTAATCTTCAACAAGTCCATGAACCATTTCAGGTAGATGTGGATCAGTAGTGAGTCTCTCATACAAGAAACTGAGCTCTATCGCGCCTCCAAGGACACAGCCCACCAGTAGCAGCATCCCAATCCTTGTTTCCATCTACAATCGACTTGTTATTCGTTTTAGGTTCTGTTGAAACAATCCACAAATAGTCAACTAGAGCCAGTAGTTGAACTCATTGAAGAGGTTTGTGGTGCTGAATTCCTCGCTCTCATCAATTGCTGGGAATATTGTGTCGATGAACTCATTCAGCGTAACATACGATCCAATCAGTGATGCTGAATATTCTGAATGAATCTGCCCTTTTGGGTTTATTGTGTATATTCGCGTCTTGGGTATGTTCAGTGTCGTGTACGAGACCACGTCAGAGAGCTTATTGCCGAATCCAGCAACAAATACGCCTTCCCTACATTTTGGATCAAACAATTCCTTAATTGCCCTTAACACGGCCACTTTGAATTCACCTGCTTTTTTGGCAATAACCTCCCTGTAAAGTGCACCCATGAGACCATCTGGATTCAGCAGAATTGGTCCATCTGGTAGACGATGACTGTCCTGCTCCACCTTCTCCAGATACTCCCTGGTTGTATGAGACTGTCCCAGTGACCTTGAAGAAAGGTAGATGATTTTGTAGCCATTTTCAACTATCTTCGAAAAGAGTGGTGCTACACCAACATGTGTCCAATCTGTTCCAATATATCCACTAATCAGTCCCCATACGTCTGATTTCGTGATAGTTCCATCGATGTCTGAGACCACTAACTTGTCTGTCTCCTCCCATAGATAAATGTACGATTCAAGTTGTTCATCAATTCCGCCTATTTTGAAAACTGCCTCATTTTTGCCTTTTTTCAGGTGAAGGCCTTTCAACTCCTCTGAGTTCAGAAAGAGCGTGAACTGAATGTCTCGTTTAACGGGCTTTCTGCTTCCAAACAGGTTCCATCCGAGACTCTCATTGTGCATCTGCTCCAAAATGTCCAACAGGTGCTTCCGCCTGTTTCTGCTCATTTTGACTTCAAAGAAGACTGTACAAAACTGGACATAGGTGAGAAAGAAGGAAGTTCTATCGTCCTGGAGAAGAACAATAAGCGACTCCGCATCCTCGATCTTCCTTGTGACGTATTTGGAGAAGGTGGCATGCGGCTTTCCGTTCTCAATTCGGACGTAGTGGGACTTGCTAAACTGAAAGGTGGTTCCAGGCCTGTTTTCGTAGACTGCCTCAAGAAGCAGAAGGAGCTCGTGGTGCTTGTTTATCAGGAACTCACAGTGTTCAGTTGATGGAAGCAGGTAACTGAACTTCTCGTAGAGCATGCTCAAATCGTAGTAGTTTTCGTAATTTGCCTTAAAATGGATATTTTTCGAGTAGATTCTCCTTCTGAGATTGAGCATCCTTTGTCGCTTCCAGTCGAGGATATCGGCAGCAGAGAGGTAATTGTGTAGTGCAAATCGCTTATTGGTCTTGTCGACCACCAGAAGGTTTCCCTTGCTGCTTACAGCTTCCTCCTTGCTGCCCATAAACTGGGCACTTTGAGAAAAGCCAGGATTCAGGTAAATTTTGTTTTCTTCTGCCTTTGTATCGCAATGTGACTGAGTTTGACTCTTTGATTGCTCTTCTTTACATGGATCTGTATCAAAGAATGCATTTTCCATGATCGAAAGTACCAGAGACTCGTCATATTGCTCCTTACTCAAATAAGAGACGTCAAAATCAACAGACTCCTCAAAATAGAGGTCTCCTTGTGGCGTGATTGTCATGTTCACGTCTGTCATCCGTCCATTAATGAGCAGATGGACTACCTGGCTCCTGCTGTTCAGAAACTGCATTTTGCTGAATCTGAGCTGGAATGGACTACACTTGTACGATCCATCCTGCTTCTTGATTACAATGACGTCATTCACGCCGGAAAGTGTGATTGGATTCACACTGTTGTATATTTCCGAGACACTTGTGAATATTTTGTTTACTACACCCATGCGGTGAAATTGTGACCTGTTTTGACTGGAAGTTGAAGTAGCGTGTTTTACAATGATTCAATCATAATTTGCCTCAAATGACAGTTTCTTATACCAATTTCAACTACCTGAATAACTTATAAAATAATTGTCTAAAAATAGCCCAATGGCAGAAAACACCCTAAGATACAATTTATTGAAGAAGGTGTTCAAGAAGGCAGTTGCTGAGATGTTTGACGATGAAACCTACAGAAACATCGATGCTGGTGATTCTCTCTGTAATTTGGAGAAAAATGAGTCAGAAACAATTGAGTCATTTCTAGGGAACATGCGTATGAAATTCAGTCACAAATTCAAGGAGAAGACACTTCAATACGATTTGGAGCATTTGCTTGACAACTTAGACAGAGACATTCGCAATGGACGCGTGTCTACGCAATGTGTGCGTGATGAGAGCTACATTAGTGAGATATTTGAAAGCTGCGTGGTTGAAGAGAAGGAGGCAGTAGCTGCAATGGTGGAAGAAGAGCACAGAAACATCCAGGAGCAAATTAGAGAATTGGACTCGAAGATCGAGGAAACAAACAGAGCCATCAAGGAACTCAACAAAGAGAACAAGGATTTGACTAAAGAAAGTAAGAAACACACCACAGCACGGGCCAAATTCAACAGAAAGTTCAGTAGTTGACTAGTTCTTGTCTATCCATCTACTTATCTACTTAAAACAAGCCTGCTGCCATTTCTGCGTCTTTTCTGGTGTGATATTCCTCATTCCACTCTTTTTCTCTTCTTTTATGTGCTCTAGTCTTTAAGTGAACAGTTAAAGTGTGCTCATCTTTGAATATTCTGTCGCATTTCTCACACACGTATTCTCCAGATGCTTCAACTCTCTCTGTCTTAATCTGATCAAGCGGCCTGCTGATGAATCGGGTGAGTTTGACCAGCTTCCTCGTGTTTCGATTCTGCTTCGATTTTTTGGTGCACTTTCGCATGGCATCAAAAACAGCCAACTTTTAGGCGCCTCGAAGAATCTTCGTGATGTCCTTACAGATCGGTTTCAGTGCATCGTACGAGTCCAAGTTGCATATACAGACGATCTCCTTCCTTTTTATGTACTTTTTGACTTCGTCACGAAGATACTCGTTATACAGGTGCATCTGCTTCGGATACTGGTTCACGTAGACGAACACGTGCGTTCTGGTCTCGAAAATGCGTATTTTGGTGCTGACGTTGTTGTATTTCTCACTGAAGTCAGCGTAGGCAGTGCGGTTACCAGTGTTCATAAAAGGAGTAGAGGCCCTGATTCATTAGCAAGTCAGAAACAGGCAAAATAAACAATGACTACGAATATGGCAGTTGTAGGAGACAAGGAGACTGTGAATGGATTCAGGATAGCAGGTGTCCATCCAAAAGACAACGAGTTGATGACAGTTGACAGCAACACGAGCAGACAGGAGGTTGAATCATTCATAATCAGGAATTTATGCAACAAGAAGACTGGAATTCTGTTCATTTGTGACTTCGTAGCAGATGCATTCAAAGAGCAATTGAGTGACCATAAGGAAGATTCACCTACGATAATGGTGATACCAGGATCCAGAAGCAATCTCCGCGTAAAAGAATGACTTGTCAGATACTCTTTACTTCCCAACCTTCTTCTCGTAGCATTCCACAATATTCTTGTCTATTTCCCTAGTTATCTTTGCTCTGAGTCTTGTTGCGCCCTTCTTCTTATACTTCGTCTTCTTTTGAACTATCTTTATCTTCTTCTTGATATTCTGTGGCATATGAATTTGGGCTAAAATATTTCAGTCATTTACTAAGCAATAAATACAGACTATCTTGGACTGTTATGTGGTTCATTGTACGTCTGTTCATCCTCTGAGCCATAGTACTCCCCCTGTGCTTCATACTCTTGCACATTTCCCCCTGTCTGTGAATAATATTGGTCGTAGTACTCCTGTTGCTTCTGCCAGTAGTACGAGTCATCCTGCATTGGACTGTAGTACTCCTCACCTCTGCTGAGCATGTTGTTGGCTCTCATCTGCTCCAGATAGTAGCTGTAGCATGTTGGACACGTTGAGCCACTTTGAGTGTTCTTGAACTCGTTGACGCGTCCTGCTGTATTGCATACGATGCATGCGACTGTTTCTGGCGTGTTCTTGACTGCCTTAGTCCTTCCTTCTGAATTCATTGAAAATGGCCTATTTCGCCCATGAAGCTTCAGGTAGAGCCCACAGGCGTTGCAAAGGAGAACGCGGCCATTTCCGCCTCGTCTCCAGCTCGGAGTTGACGTCGTCTTGCAGTTCGAACAGATGCGCTGCTTGCTCTTCTTCTTCGTAGGAAGCCTGTTCCGCCTCTGCTTCTTCATTTCTGCAATTTGATACGCATTTGGGTACATGAAGCTCTGCTCGTCACCGTACGCCCCAGACTGGTACCGCATGTTCTCTTGTGGCCCTGTCTCTGCGTAGAATGGCTCCATCTGCTCCTGCTTCATCCCCACCTGCTCGCCTCTGTTTGTTTGCATGTTGTAAAAATGCTCCTCATCAAAATACATCATATGCTCGTTCTCATACCCGTGTGCCGTGTTCTGCATCTCTGGATACGCCCGATGACACCCCCTTGCTTCGTTCTCCAGCTTCTTCTCCCCTGTATCGTTATTCATTGATGTGATTTTAGGGCTGTTTTTGCCAGAATCACCCTCGTCTATTTTCACTCGCCCATCAAAAATGTTTCGATACGAATCAAACAGACTTCTCCTTTCTGTAACTCCCCCTATGGATCCATTTCCACCAACCTGCTTATGAGACCGTTTCAAGTGATCTGATTCGGTAGCCTCGTTCTGCTCAGCATCGCCACAGTCGACGCAGTCTCTGGGTCTGGCCGTTGTTTGCTCCACGTCGTGCTCTATTTCATCTGATATGTCCTGTGATTCTATCATTATGGGGGTGTCAGTCTGATATTTTTGATATTTGCCGTTTCAAGTGCGACTGGTGCAACACATTGCATCAATGAAGCAATTTGGTCCAGAATGATATCAGAATGACAGTAGTTAATTTCAAATCAGAATTGCTCAAATTTTTACACGGCATATTGCCCATTTAATTCAACTATTTGCCGAGTTCTGGGCGATGGCCAGGACGGCACGAGCCACGTCCAGAATCAGCGCCAGTGTCTCAGTCACCGACCCGAGGTTGCTGATTCCCTCGACCAGGAATCTGTGCATTTTTAGGTTGTTCGCGTCCTCGTTCTTGATGTGGCTGCTTTTGCTCAAGACGGAGTCCAAGGCAGGCAGAATCCTCGTTTCCTTCAGCGACTCGAAGTCGACTGGCTCAGAATTCGCCTTCAGAAGCGCACTGAGAACTGCACAAAACTCGTTGACTTCCTCGTCGAAGACAAAGAGCTCCTTGAACGGCTCAATGTCCCGGATGAGGGAGCTAACAAGACGGGCGTAGCCGTCTTGGTACTCGCCAGCCTCTTTTGCTGCTGCAATCCTCTCAGCTGCCTTCTTCATCTCCTCATCCATTCCCTTGCTCCTTTCAATGGCCTTAAACAGTTGAACTGGATGCGACACGGTTTCAAGAAAGAGGAGGCTTTGGGCATCCAGCTCGTCTTCGACTACGCCTTCGATGAATTCGCCTATTTCGTCGTGCTTGATGTACTTCCTGCTGTACTTCACGTATTCGATGACTTTGTTGAAGAAGCCAAGGGGCATTGCCTCTTTTATGAACGATTCAGCCGTGTACGTCTCCTGGAGACTTCCAGCTGTTTCAGCGAGTTCCACAGCCAGCTCGTCCATTGCGATGCTCTCGCTGCTTCCAGTCGCCTCAGAGCCATCTTCAAAACGGTAGTCGAAAACAAGCAGCACATCGACGACGAGGTTCCTGAACTTCGCTTCACTCAGCCCAGCCAGCTTCTCAAACATCGCTGCGCCTCTGTTCACGTCCTCAGCGCCATTTCGGTTGTTTATTTCGTTTATTACGTCTTCGCATAATTCAAGGAACTTCACGCTTGGCAGCTTCAACAGCTTCGCCATGGCCTCCTTCTGCCGCTCAGACACCTCGGTGCCTCTCGCGTCATGGCCAGCGTACGACTCAAGCGCCTCCTTCACGTTGCTGAGATGTAGGGAATCCATGATGATTCATCCTCTTTTTTTAAAACAGCAGTCTCATCGAACTGTTTCCGAATCCAATCGGTCGCCTACGGGTGATTTGCCACTGTTATCGAGATACGTGTCATTCTGTACAGCCCGCTTGTAGTCGGCATGGACCTTGATCATCATGAAGAAGACCAACCCAAAGAGGGCGGCCCTGATCATGAATGTCAGAAATGCGAAGTATCTGACGTCATTCTTGTGAAAGACGTTCACCAGAACTATCACATAGATGCTTGCAAGCAGCTTCCCTATTTTCTGGGCCAATCCATCAAAAATGCCCTTGTAAATAATTCGCTTTTCTGGGTCTATTTTCACACTGAGGCTCTCTTTTATCACGTCGTAGAACGAGTACTTGCCCACTTTGCTCAGGAGATTCGATGTCATCACCAGAAAGGCCTCCCACTCGAAGTAGGCAGTGGCTGAGTTGATGCCAAACGTAAACAGCGATCTCTCCCCAAAGTGCGTAAACGGGTAGTTGATGGTCGAAAACAGGCAGATCAGGAAGTCAGGGACTGTGCAAGCAGCACAGACGACGGCAGCAAATCCCAGAATTCCAACTGTGCCAAAGATTCGCTTGAAAACGGGTACAAGCATAAGGTAGACTGAGATTGCAGAAGTCAGGAAGCATTCGATCGACTTGTACTTGCTGCTGAGGGCGCTGCTTGAGTCGCCCTGGCCTGGATTCCTGTTCATATGCGGATTCTGCTGCAAGAAGTCAGAATAGGCCACAAACGAGTACATTGACGTGACTGAGTCAATTGCACTAGCAAAATTGTAGGCAACGGCAAAGAGACACATTCCAAGGAGCCAGGGCGTCCGACAGACGATTCGCAGTGACTGTGACAGTCCCACATTCGTCTTTGCCTTGGGCGTCTGCTGGCCTATGACGTGGCCTACGTAAAGTGGCTTTCTAAATTCACGGTCACTGAGTCTCTTCATGAAGTAGAGGGCGCCGTAGAACAGAGAGGCCACACAGATGCTAGCACAGTAGTAGATCCACTTGGTCGATGCAATGGCACGTTGGTCTATCAAACGAGCCATAAATTTGGCAAGAAAGACTGAGAAGAAAAGAGAGGCATTTGCGCCCAGCAGAATCAGGAAGATGTAGCGGGACATCTGTTCGTGTGTCACATTGGCCGTAAAGTACATCATGTAGCCGCATCCAATCAGAAATGACGTCGACGAGTCGAGTATCACGTAGAAGAGCGTCATGACCAGGTTATTAAGCATAATCAGGGGCTGTCTGAAAATGTTGAGGCCTCTGATTGTCCATCTGCTTCCTGACATGATCTCCTGTGCTACGCCCTTTTCTATTACAAATCTATCGAATACCGTTAGGAATCCCCATGCGAGGTAGAGCCCGATGAAGAAGAGGATGAACATGGATGTTCCCCTGTTTACGCCGTGTTTAGCGTGGATCCGATTGACCACGCCCAGTATCGTGATTGAGGCGCAGAATGTCAGCAACTCGAGCCAAATGGCCACTGTTGCGTCCTGAAATGTGTCGAGGACCAGGATCTCCTTAAACTGCCTTATGAATGCGTAAGTCAGCCCCACCAAAAAGAAGCTCAAGTTTGCCAGGGCAACGCGCTTGTACTCGCTGGGTATGAATGGTGCTATGGAACCAATTGCGGTGTTCTTCTTGGCCTCTATTGCCTCCTTGTACTCCTCGTAGGTCGGTAGATCAGTGGTGATTGGCTTTCCGATATCAGTAGAATGAGACATTGGGTAAATTTTTGAAATTGGAAATTTGTGGAGGAAATGGGAACAATTTTGCCCCGGAATGGAAGAGGAAGAGGAGACCAAAATCACTGAAAAGTACAGGCCAACGAGTTTAGGAGGTGTCAGGGGAAATGAAGAAATTTTGATTTGTCTTAGGAAATTCAACCTGGTGGATCTGCCAAATATGCTGTTTTATGGGCCATCTGGAACAGGGAAGACCACGTCAATCAGGGCACTGCTGAACAACAAAATGAGTCCAATCAACGTGTTGGAGCTGAATGCGTCAGACGAAAGGGGAATCGACACCGTACGAAACAGAATCAAGCAGTTTGCTGAGACGTCAGTGGAACACAGGCTGGTGATTCTGGATGAGGCAGACAGCATGAGCAAGGATGCACAGGGTGCATTGAGGCGAATAATGGAAGACTACCCAAATTGCAGATTCTGCCTGATTTGCAACTACGCCAGGAAAGTGATTGAGCCAATTCAGTCGCGATGTGCCAAATTCAGGTTTACGCCAATTAGTCCATCTCAAACACGAATGTGTGTTGTGGACATTCTGAGGAAGGAGAATGTGGAAGTGAGAGACGAGGAGGGACTGGAGTTGCTGGTTGAGTCATCAGACGGAGACTTGAGGAGACTCGTGAACGACATTCAGGGAATAAAAAGGGCGTATGGGTCCATTTCAAGGGAAAACATGGAGGAGTTTCTGGGAACAGTTCCAAGAGAGAGAATTGAGGCAATTTACTCCATTCTGAAAGATGGGGAGATTGGATTCAAGGAGGCATTTGACAGAATAAGGAAGATGGAGGTAGAGACAATGGCAATAGTGGACGAGGTATTCAAGAGGGTGTTGAAGAGTGATAGAGAGGACAGGTTCAGAATTATCAGGGGACTAGGGGATATTGAGGTTGGAAAGGCGATAGAATGCAGTGATCACGTTCAGTTGGCTGTTTTGGTTGGATTATTCAAATAAATTGTACAAAATAGTTTCAGACCCTTGTGCATGAATATTCAGAAAAAGAGCATCTTTGAAGAAGTAGAAGAGGTGGTGGAACAATCGGATAGAAGCCACGAGTGCGACGAAGAGCAGAGTGAAGAGCAGGAGAAGCAGGCAGAAGAGAGGTTGAACCAATCTATTGCCATTTTGAGCGAACTCAAGCATAAGATTTATTCGTATGGGAAAATGAACCAAAACGCCCTGAGAAATCTGAGATGCATTTTGGACGAGTTGTTGAATTGGACTGGAAGTGAAATCAGTTTCAAGCCAAACACGGTGATGCTTGAACTGTTGGATGAATTGGCATTCGTCAGGGCAAAGGACGACTTCTATCTGATTCTGGTGCATGCAATGCATTGCAACAAGACGTATTCGACTGCACTTTCGGTGTTGAATTTGATGATAAAACACAAACAATTTGTGCCTGATTTGTTCAAAACAAAGAGATTCGCATTTTTCATATCAGAAAAGCTACTTGAAGAAATCACGGCACTACAAACGAACAAGACCAAGGAAGAAGCACAGAAGATCATGTCAGAGAAGAGTATTGAAAGTTGCTTCAATTCAGAGACAGAAAATACAATTGGATCCAGTAATTCAATAAGGCGACTGATTCAATTTGCCACAAAAATCATCCAATTCCATAGGCCATTTTCATACACGCTTCAAAGTGTCAACTTCTTCAGCCTGTTGAATTTGTTGATCATCAAGGAGACTGCTGAGTTGTACAACGTGGTATTTGATGGCTTGGATTCTGGTTTCGTAGAATGCGAGGTTGTGAAAGGTGTTTCAAGTGATCTATACAAGAACTACGCTGATGGAGCAGTATTCGAAATCAGGAGACGGGGATTGGAGGAAGAGCAGCTATTGAGAAACAAAATTCTGTTTGAATTTAAGACGAATGAGGGAAGAAATAGGGGCACTAGGGATGATGAAGCACTCTTCTACGATCTTCAGGTGACAATCCTGGTGGATTTGGTGGAATATTTTGTGGAAGACATGCATCCAGTGATGGCATACAAACCAATTGGATACATAAGGAACGAGATCATTGGAGTGATCAAAGAAAAATACGCCGAATACGACAGAATCAGGAACAAAAATCGCAAGGTATCAAAAGTCCAGATTAAAAAGATCACTGATGAAATAGAAAATTGGTTGATCTACTACAGAAAACACCTGGAACTTGGAAACAGGGTGCATTCAACACTTCTCAAATCAATTTTGTACAACATCAACCTCACCAAGCAAACCAGGTACAACAGCCTGATGATTGCATTCCACCACATCAATGACTTTGAATCACGTTCATACATCAATTTGATCAACATCAGAAACGTATTCAACTGCCTGGAATACAGTTTATCAGTTTCTGATACCCTAAAAATAGTTGAAATCCTGAAAGTGATATACAACAAGGAGAGTAACAAACACTACAAACCAACCTATTTGGTAGTGCTACGATCTGTTCTAATCAGACTTGAGGCGTGTGATGATGAATCTGATTCTCTGATCAGTGCCATTGGTTGGATCCAGGCGTATTTCAAGGACTTCGTCGATTTCATCAGGGCTGATCAAGTGAACTGTGCTGAAATTCTGATTCAGCCTGCAATTTCAAAGAAGAAAGCAAGGCAAAAGACGTACGAATTGGACCAGGAAGATGAGTTGGATCTGCTTCAACGTGCTGAAAACCTGATCAACACCGATAACTTTGTGATGAGTCACCAAAGTGTGATTGAATCAGAAATCGACAAACTGCCTGAGAAGAAGGAGACTCGCAACTTCCTGGGTGATTCTGACTCAAATCCACAGAATGCCCCTTAAAATGAACATATTTTTTGGATCTATTTCTGCTGCAATAGTACCGGTCTCAGCTGCCAATCTGCTGTATCCCCTGAACACTGACACTGATTCGCGTATTAAAAAAGAGACCATCATCAACAGAAACATCGTAGTTGAATTCAATGGCCCATTTGAGCAAATTGGCATCGATTGCGTCCTTCACACAATTTACGAGTACAAAATTGAGGAGAAATCAAACAGAGTCAGCCAATACTTCTATGAAAACAGCAGATTCATTGACGTAGGTGCCAGCTGCAAGCTCAGGGACACGACACTCACCATTTCCATCAACAATGTCCCAGATAACGTGCTCTATTTCTACTACTGTTTTAGAATCAAGTACCCAAATGGTATTGAAATTGGTATTTTGGACGAAACGGTGTACACAAAGGAGAATAGCGAGCCAAAGAGAATCAAACTCACAGACCTTGATGGCCACACACACCCAATGAGCAAGCAGCACCGTGACATGATATTCAAGGACACCTCAAGTGTAGCACAAAACATGAAAATACGAAATGTTCGTCACAACAAGGCTGAATTGGCCAACAAATTGGTGATAATCTGCCTAGTAATTGGGGTAGTACTGGCATTCATCTCATTTGTTCTAGAACGAAACTACGAGACCAAGAGAAAAGAGAGCGACGATGAACTAATTGATCAGTGATCCAGGTTGTCCACACTCCCTGAATCACTAAAAATATCCCCTATTTCCGATGCTATGGAACTTGATTCAACTCATCAAAAATGCAGCCGTTGGAGACCAAACACAGGTTGGAACTCTCATCAACGACTCGCAGTGCAACAGACTGATCGTCACAGTCGACTTCAACAAGCCAGTCCTCATCGACAGTGCCCAAATTGTGTTCATCAAATACAGTGACGCAATTCAGGGCAGCACCTTCGTCCACCTCCACAAGAGCCTCTACCTCGACCTATCCAAGTTCACTACGACTGAACTAAAGAAGAATGAGCTGACTACGAAGACTCTTGAAATAACGAACCTAAGGAAGTTCATTAAGGAATATGCTGGGGTAGCAGGTCGATTGGAATCAGCCCAGTACAACGAGATGTTTGTTTTGTTCAAAATGCTCTTTTTCACCAGAAACAGCGGCACCTTCTCGACGCCTCTCCTGACTTTCACTGGTGACGTGGTCAAGAAGCTGCCATACGCGGAATACGAGACATTTTGGATCCAGAAGTCGCTCTACCGGGTGACAGCAGCCCCGAGACAGCGGTTCCGCCGCTTCCACGTGGCCAGGACGTTCCTGACGATCGCAGCCGTCCTCTTTCTCGTCGGAGTCCTCCTTGTCCTTGCCAAGTGGTACATCGAGTACAAGAAATACGGTAGAAGAATCAAGAAGGCCTATAACAAAATTGAGGGAGTTGGTAGGTAGTTAACTTATTTATGCGATGATGTTTATCTTGCTCTGGAGCCTCTTTGTGTAGAGGTTGGCTGGTGTCCCGTAGACGTTGATGATTCCGATCTCATTGAGCTTCTCCTCGAGCATCGCATTCCCGCCCATGTCGATGTACGAGCATCCTGTGAGATCGAGGGTGAATCCCGATTCCAGGTACTGCAGGTCGACTGCAAACTCATCGAGTGTCAGGAAGTAGACTGGATAGTCGATCTTGACGTACTTAAGCGTGTTGTAGTTGACTTCGTCGCCATAAACCGGCTTCACCTGCCTCTTTCGACCTGCTATTGCTGCCTTCAGAACGGATAGACTTATTGCTGCAATCACGAAGCAGAATCCCAGGGCTGTTGAACAGAAGTAGCTGAGAACGACGCCTGCTGCCCAAATTGTTGCATCTGTCCCATTCATTGCCCTAAATGGCTCGTAGCCGTAGCACTGGATGAAGACCATCCCCATGTACGAGAGCAGAACGTGGCCTACGAGAAGTGGAATGTACTCGACCACGAATGGTAGGGCGATTCCCAGGAGAGCAAAGACGCCTGCGAATACCAGGGCAAATTGGCTGTAGCCACAGCCCAGTTTCGCCACCAGAAGCGAGTAGCAGTTGACGAAGTAGGAAGGAAACCCGACGACTGAGGTGGCTGCGTTACTCAGTGCCTGTGCCTTCCACTCCCTGTTCAGGTCGTAGTCTCCCTCCTTCCCGGTGCAGCTGACGAATGATGGCACATTCACGTTGATGTGGATCATGTTGAATATCGTGACGGTGATGATTTCACCGATGTTCTCGAGGAGGCAGCTGATGATCATCCCAAAATCAACTCCAGTCGTCGTTTGATCAGTGAACTTGAAAATGGCTGAGACACCCGTGTTTAGGGCACCGGTGAAGAAGACCGGTTTGAAAAGGGGCGCCTCCTTCTTGAGACTGAGGTGCCAGACGAGGTGGACGGCAGCAGCAACGGCGACAGCCGCTGCTGGAAGCAGAAACTGAAATGGGGCGAAGTTGTCGATGGCCCAGACCACCGCAGCCAGCCCGAGCACCAGTGCGACGTATCCGTAGCTCTTCACTGCCCAGAGATCCGTCTTCTCCCCAGCGGCCGTCTTTGCCTCCTTCACCCGCTCAAAGAGCTCCTTTGCGTCGCTGATTGGGTCTTTGAGCATAAACAGCCCAATCGCAAGCATCACCGCATTCACCGCAAGAAGTGGCACCTTCTTGCACGCATTTCCAAGCTTCTTTTGGGCGACGAGCCCAGAGGCGCCTGCGAAGAGCAGCGTCGTGAACGAGCAGACGACCCACGTGCAGAGCGCAGACTGCGCCGCGATGACGTCATCAGACGCATTCGCGTTCTGCTTCGTCAGCTCACGCGCCACAATTCGGTGGCAGGCGCCTGAGATCGAGTTGAACGACTGTTTGGCCTCGAGGATCACGCCGGCAACGAAGGCCGTGTTCAGGCTGCTTGCGAAGTTGAAGACGACGTTGCTTAGGACGGTGCCAGCACAAAATGCAACCAGGCTCAGTGTACGACACATTTCACCAAAGACATCGGATCCACGAGAGTCATCCGCCTTGAACAGGTCTTTTCCAAACGAAATGAAGTCGCAGAGTGTCATGATCGCAGCAGTGGCAGCACTGATGGCACCTGCTTTGATTCCACTGAGATTGTCGCTCTTCTCAGGCTCAACGACCATTTCAGGGCCGTCTTTATCAAGTTGTTCAGCACCACAAATGTTGTCATTTTTAGTGCTGTCATTTTCAGTATTGACATTGACATTGTTCTCAATGTTGTCACTGTCATTACTATTAGTATTCTCAACACCCTCAACACCATTGTCACTCATTTGGGGTAAAAATATTCAAATGTAAAATATTTGATTAATTTAATTTGTGATCATTTAATCAAAATACTGTTTGACACTCTCTACTGTTTCGTATCTGTTGAAACAGTATTGTATTTCTGGGTCATGTACGAGTCATTGCTGAGGAATGGGAGTGAGAAGGTTCTCTTTGGCTCATTCATTGGAACACGTGAGACCGAGACTGAGTTCGTGGCCAGTGTAACTGGAATCAGGGAGAAGAACGGCCTACTTGCTGCCGAAGTTGAGTTGGATGGGCCAAGTGGAACCAAAGAGAGATTCACGTGGCTGTTTGAGACCAAGAAGCAGCTGACTGCCCAGGTGGAAGAGTGCTATTCGATGCTGGTCAGGTTGGGACTCTTCTACCAGGAACTGCTTGGGATGCTTCAGAGTGGGACACGGGTGGACGTAGCCAGTAGCAAGTTGGATAACACGGTGGAGATGGAGAGGAAGCTGGCTTTGTTGAATGAGCTGTTCAGGAAGACAGCAGAAGTAGAGAAGAATCAACGTAGGATGAATGATGAACTAAGTGATAAGATCAATGAACTACTATGCCTATTTTGTGGAGATGGTAGATAACGTAGTTATGATTATAATTATAGGGGGTGTATCACATATTAGGTGACTACTTATTCTTCTTACTATCCTTACTACTACTATTATTACTACTATCCTTACTACCCTTATTACTACCCTTACTACTCTTTTCACCCCTGTGTAGCATCCTGTCCTTACAAACCAAATCGATGATCCAAGTCAGCCCAATCATTGCAACACACAATCCAATCAGTCCACTCTTCCTTCCACCGAGATCAACGCATCCAAGCCACTCGTTCAGGTCTCCATGGATATTCAGAATGATATTCAGTGGAATTCCAAGCATGCAAACAAGAGAGAGCAGGAGCATTGGATTCTCAGAAATATCCTCCCTGAATGGTCTACCAATGTAGTTGAATGCAAATGTAGCAATGGTCTGAACCATTCCTAGGGCAAATACAGCCGTATTCAGGGAACCAGGGGCAAACTTGGTTGACTCACCTGATTTGGTTGATTCACTTGATAAATTGTGACCAGTGAAGTAGCGGACCACGAGAGCATCGTCGCCAAAGAGCCAGACCAGGGCAACGAAGCAGAGGGTGTGGAGGGCGCCCTGGAGCAGGACGCTGCAGACGAGGCCGGTGCTGAAGATCGAGTCGGCAACGCGGCGGCCGTCTACGACGTCGAGCGTCTTGCCGCGACTGATCGCGTTGAAGGCGAGGGAGTTCAGGACGCCAAGTGAGAGCATCTGCTTCTCGCTGAACTTGATTTCAAAGAGGTCGAGTAGGCCAATTGTGAAGGCAGAAATAAGCGAATTCAGGGCAAGGATCTTGTACATCTGGACAGTCGTGGAGGCAGAGGAGCGGCCCTGGAGGACGATGTCGATGACTGGGCGCAGGCTGCTCGACCGAATCGTGAATGGCGCAGCCACTGACGCATCTCCAGGCTTGAACTGCGAAACAGTCTCAGTTAAGCTTAAAGTGGATTCATGCGCAGGAGACGACTCCTTAGAACAGGCTAAGACTGCGACGCCCACGTCGGCCGCCTTCAGCGCCCCGACGTCGTTGGTTCCGTCTCCAACCATCATCGTCCTCTTCCCTGCTCGCCTGTACCACTCCACAATCCGCTCCTTGTGGGACGGATCTGCCCTGGCAAATACGCCGTATTCACCAACTCGACTTGTTTGAAGCACCGAGTCGATTTCGGAGCCAACTGCGATCTCGCCGCCCACTCCCAGGCGGGCTGCGACTGACTGGGCCGTGTGCCTGTTGTCTCCTGTGATCATCACCACACGATGGTTGCTTCCTATCAGCTGCCTCACAGTCTCCTTCGCGTATTCCTTAATTTCAGTTCCAAAAAGAAGAAAGCAGCAAAATGTCAGGTTGCTGTGGTCCATCTCGTTCTTCTCCTCCTGTGTGACACTGTATCGACCACTTATCTCCTTGTACGCAACTGCTATGACTCGATGGCCCTCTTTTGCGTATTCTTCATATTCGTCATAATTTGTTACCTCACTTTCTAGCAGTTTTGCTACTGTTTCTGGTGCTCCCTTTGTAACCAGAAATCGTCTTCCACCGTGTTCGACAATCACAGACTGACGCCTGCTTTCTGAGCTGAACGGGTATTCAGCCACCTTCGTGAAATCAGAAACAAAGCGATTCTTCTTCTGCAGGTAGTCGAAGATGGCCATGTCGAGTGGATCACCATCAAACTTGTTTTCAATCAGTTGGAGATCGTTACAGCAACTCAGAAGGAAGTCAGTGTATGAATCATCCTCAAATTGGACTACATCAATTAGTTTCAGGGTGTTTTCAGTCAGAGTTCCTGTTTTATCAAAGCAGCAGACATTCAGCTTCCCAGCCTGCTGAATTCGGTAGGGCTCCAGGCAGTAGATTCCCTTTAGGAAGAGTGATCGAACGGCCATCTGGACAGATGTGCCCATTTCAAGGGGCAGCTCAAACGGAATTGAGTTGGTGAAGAGGATCACGATGTCGAGAAAGAGGGCGTGGCCTCTTTTGGTGCTGTAGAAGAACATCAGAATTGATGCAAGGACTGAGATTGTCGAAAGTGCAATGACGAACTTCAGTGCCTCCTTGTCGTACTTCAGCTCGTCTGAGAGGAGCATCTTGTTCAGAAGAATCCCCTTTTCAGTCTCAAAGCCCGTTTTCAGAACAAGGCACTTTGTGGGCTGGAGGACTTTGAGGACTTCGGTGCCTGAAAAAAGCAGGTGCTTTTTGTGCTTCGATTCGTCAAAGAAGTCGCTGGTTTTGGAGTTTGAGACTGCGTTTTTGACCAGTGGAACCGACTCGCCTGAGAGCATCGCCTCGTTCACGACGGCACTGCCATCGAGGATGAGCATGTCGCAGGTGACAGAAGACTTCTGGTTGCTGAGGACGATGACGTCACCAGGAACCAGGGCAGTGGAGCTGATTTTGGTTTCTGACTTCTTTTTGATCACAGTGACAGGGGTTTCGACAATCTCGTAGTTCTGGAACATCTTGAGCGTGACAAGGTGATTCAGTGTCATGGCGCCCTCAGCCCCAAAGGAGACTGCAATTGAGAAGAGCGAGTTCAGGACGTAGTCGTCAAAGAGTGTCAGAATCGATGAGAAGATCGAGAAGCAGAAGAGGGGGCTTGTGATCTGCTCCTTGAAGAGGGAGACGAACGTGCGACGTGGGAACTGGAGCGTGTTCTTGGGGAAATGATCCTGGTATTTCTGACAGTAGTCGCCATTCATCAGCTCTTGTAGCGTGTAGTTCCACTGTGGTGATATCTTTTTGACTGTTTTGTTATTCAAATTCTCTATGAAATATTTCTCATTATTGAAAACGAAAAACATCTTCAGGCCTTCTTTCTTGAAATCCTCCTTGAATATTCTGCATATTTCATTCTGGTAGAAAATGAAGAGATTTTCGATGGTAGAGAGCTGAGAGAGGTCTTTGTGCTCAGTGAAGCATTCAAAGATGTGGATTTTGCTGGACCAGTAAGTTGCAAGAAACAGGCACAGGGAAGAAGTCAATAAGACTATTCCGAGTTCGTACCAGATGCGACTTAGGGCGAGTAGGGGTGCAAATACAAGCGGTAGCATGTAAAGTGAGAGATACCAAGGTCTCTCGGTGTAGAATTTGGTTGTGTTCGATCTTGTGCTATTCATGTGGGGTAAAATATTTTATGCATTCAAGACTATTTAAGCTTAAATTACATAAATATAGAAATAAATAATATTTATGCTTATAATGTGTAGACTGCTCTATGGTATTTGCTTGGATGTAGGGGAGGGTGACGAGCGCTTGAAATACTTGTTATCGGATGCGTTTGAACCTGAATACAACAAGAAAATCACCAGATTGTTCACCAAGTTGGAGAAAATAAAGACATCTGATTATGCTATCGAAAAACAGAAGTCAGATGTGTTTGAAGGTGTCAATTTGTGTTACCTTGACAAGTGCATGGATGATCTTGGGAAATTATACGAGCAAACGAACAAAATGCTCTTTGAGATAATTAACAACGCAATATTCCTCTTGGATCATGTTTCTGATGAAGAATCACCAGAATTCCAAAGAGTCAATCTTCTCAAATATTATGCTCTTACTCTAAAACACCACAAAGATATTGTTTTAGCTCATAAAAGTAGGATTCCGGGTATCTACGCTAATTCATCCCACAAAGATGCTCTTAAATTCGAAATCATCAAATTCAACAGAATTTTATCAGAATTGAAGTCAGATTTAACCTGGATCAGAAACAAGAAGTTTGCTGCAACCAAATCACTTAAAAAATGCATCAGAAAAAGAACTAGAAACATCAAGACATACAATTTGATCAGATCAGGTGATATTGATCAGTTACCTGACTTCTACAGCAACTTACTTACCAATGGATCTCTCCCAGAATACACTGAGAAACTCATCAACCTGATTTTATTTCAAAAAGAAATAATCAAAACCACCAAATCTCTGATTGACATGCTCAAAACAAAAGAGGTTGAAAACGAATCCCTGATTCTCTTAATGACTCAATACGGTATGAATCTGCCTAGTCATTTCTCCCCTTCACCTCTCTCCTGATCAGTCCCTCTTTGCCCACAATATAGCACTCTGCGCCCCATCCACTCAGTGCATCCCTGTCAACTGCATTCAAAAATGATTGCATTGCAGTTGTAAACAGCTGTTCCACTTCCATTCCCTCTACAAAAAGAGCTTCACAAATTCCAGTCAAATTGTCACATGCTGTTCCTGCCGTAACAAACTGGTACTCAGAAATATAGCCCAAACAGTCCAACGAATAGGCTCTTGGCTTGTTTTCTGAATCCAGTCCTGCTACAATTGGACTCAAATAGAGTGGACCTGTCTTCCTGTGTGAATACAGGATGTAGCTGACCAGTCCAACCACCTCATCCACCTCAATTTCCCTTCCTTCGTTCAACTCAAACATCTTCACCTGCTTTTTTATTCTCTCATGCAAACTCTGGCAATCTGGGACAAATCCAGTCAGCCCCAGCACAACCTTCCTGCTCAGAACGAAGAGGGAACTCCTCTCTGTTCCAACAGTGAACGATGCCATTCCAAGTCTCCTGTCTCCTACAACAATCAGGGAGTCTCCTCCAACCATTGCCACAATTGACCCACCGTAATGTTCTGAGATGTCTCCCATGGGTGAAATCCACAAACATTGTTTCACACCAGTTTATTTACAGGTTGTGACGTAGAATGCGTTGAATACGAATGAAATCCACATCAGGAAGTTGGATGTGACTGTGTTTGAAGTTATCAATCAAGTAGCAGAATATCAGGTGTAGTACAAAATACCAGGGCATCATTGGTGAATCACTGATGAAAAGCAGATAGTTCGTAAGAGAGCCACGTGGATTGAATACGGGTGAGAGAGTCCAATCAACCTGAGCAAATTCAGTTCCAATCCAGTACAACAGGTCAGTTGTGAACTTGTTGTACTGTTCATCAATATTGATCAGTAGAAACCATACTCCATTTAGAGATGGAGTATAAGTCAATTTGTTGATGTTGAATGGTTCTACCATGTACTCATTGCAATAGTGAGTTGACTTGATTGGGATCTGATTGTCTCTTAATCTTTTTAAGTTGATTAACAGCTGTTTCTTATCAATTTGAATTCTGTTACTGTAATTCTCATAGTACTCAAATCCATTGAGGTATTTGATTAGTTCATCAAAGAGTATGGCGTAGTCTGTGAAGCGTCTCTTCAGCAGAATCAGTGCATTTTCAACTGATCCATAGTTCACTGGAATGTAATTTGAGTAAATCAGGTAGTTTTGAGATTGAGTCATTCTGAATACAATTATATCACATAATGCGCAAATAATACGGGATGAGACTGAGAGTGGAACTGTATTGCGCACAAACAGGCCCATAAGGTTGGTGACTTTGACAAGGATGCTGAATAACTCAAGTGACATCAACATGGGCAATAATTTGGAAAACAGAAAGTGGTCAAAATGTGGTAGAAAGACGTAGATTTCTGTTTTAGTCAGAGAAAACAAATCACTTTATTCAATCATCTGAGTTCATTTTGGCAAAAATTTAGCAACCCATATGGCAGCAGAAAAGAAAAACATCAGGGCAAAGAGTGACGACGGATCGTCCTATTCGGACTCGTCCATTGACAGCACGGATTCCTCGGAGATTTCATCGGGCTCAGAGACCTCAAACGAGGACTCCACGTCCGTCAGCAGCGAGACCACGCTCAGCTCATCATCCGCAGATTCATCAGATCACGCTGCATAAATAATGTTAAGCTTAATTTGTATTTTGTTTGTTTGATTTATGCATTACTTCTCAACTTCCTTCTCCCCGAGCTTCTTCACGCTCGTTACGCTCGCCTCGCGCCTCTTCTCCATCCACTGGTCCAGCACTTCCTTGTCGTGAATGTTCTTGAATCGCTCCAGATACTCCTGGTCCTCAATCTCCTCTAACTCCCGCTGTGCCTCTTCAGCCTCCTTCTTGTTCTTTCGCTGAATCGCATTGTCTCGTCTTTTAATCAGCCTCATCTTAAGCAGTGTCGTACTCTCTTTTCTTGGATTCGCCCTTGCTTTTCTGTTTAAATAGTCTGTGATTTCCAGGTCAGTCAGGTTCCTCGTCAACTCCTCCTTTGCCTTCTTCGTCTTCCTCAGAATTCCAGCAAACAGCTCCCTGGTCACAGAATACTCCTCTACGAATGTCTCAAACTCCTCCTGCCTCAAAGAGCTGTTTGATACATTCACAATTGGCCACTGATTGATTACACGCTTTCCAGCATCAATCGTAAGCCCAATATTGCAATAGACGTCTTTCTGGTTCTTCTTCTTAGGCAACTTGTACGATGGTATTTCTTCTACGCCAAGAATCTTCCCAGCTCGATAAGTGTTGTTTATGCGTACACGAACAAAGAGCCCCTTAATCAAATTGAAATTCGATCTAAAGACGCCCTTGATTAGGGTGTCTCGTCCAAGGACAAACTCCTGCTGAATTGGATTCATATCGTCCTTGATGACAGCAATCTCTTCAGAGGGCTTGCTGCTGAACACACTCTTGTTTTCTTCGTTGGCTTTTTTGATTCTCTCTGCATCAATTTCAGCCTGTATTTCCTCGTGGCGCCGTGCTTTGTACTTCTCCTGCTCAAGTGGCGTCATTCTTCTGATCATATCGTCTTCTTCCGCTGTTAGTTTGAATTTATCTTCAAACTCTCTTGTCATACAGGGGCATAAAACCAAAATATTTGTCAACAAACAAAATCATTTGTTAGCTCGTCTGAGGCAGTGTATCAGCCTTGTTTGTAGAGATTCCCCCTGAAACTCCTGTAGTCTTCATCCGCCTCGTCCCTCTTTTCATCCTTCTTCTCTTCCTCCCTAAAATACAAATCTCGTTCTGTTTGTCTCACCTGTGCCCTATTTTTAGCCTTCTGAATTGTTTCAGCATTTGTTCTAGTCACGTACTCAACATACTCATCGAGTGTCATTGTTTGAACATTTCTCATTTTAAACGGGTTTCCACCAACTTGGGTGACCTGAATTGGCCTTGCTTCCCCAGGCACATTCCTCTCCTCTTTTCTGCCTATCTTTTGAATACTCTTCTCCCTCTGAATTCCTTCGTAGTCAAACAATCCTCGTTTGTAGAAGTATTCCTCCAACTGGTTCAGCATCTCGTCATCATCCCAGTCAATCACCCTGAAATTCAAAATAGCCCGTTTTATTTCAATTCTCTTGCCTCTTTCTTTCAATCCGCTACTCTCCTCCTCAAAACAAGTCTCTTTTCCTATCATTTTGAAGAAGTTGACTAAATCTGCCTCATTTTGTGTAATTTTATACGTCAAATACCCGTAGAACTTGATGTAGTAACGAGATCGGTTTGTTTCATCATCTTCAAGTCTAATTTGACTGAATTTTAGTACATCGCCTTCATCCAATTCCACATTTTCAATCACTTTCACAAGCAGTGCCTTGAAATTATCCATAAAATGGGGTTGTTAAGCATTTTATTGAGAAAAGTGGTCAAAAACTCAACAGGATGCTCTGCTCCTAACAACTCGTCTCTCACTGCTTGTTCTTCTGTAGGAAATCTCTTGTTTCATTTGGCATGTCGATCTTAACACAGTGGTTGAGCGTAAATTCGCTGATTTCTGGATCCCTCAAATCCTCCTTATTCAGTCCAAACGTGTTTACTGTCACGTACATCAGACTCAATGCACTCAAATAGCTTCTGATTGTGAATGTGACTGCATACTCCTGCAAATCAACCACCTTGCTGCATCCACCGATATTTTTGTTTGAAAATCTCCTTTGACTTGCTATGCAGTTTGTGAGGGTGTTTGATAGAAACATCGTATTCTTGTTCTTTGTTAAATGCATGTAAACCAATCCCAGTATCTTATCAACTGATTTCACACTTTCTACCCTGATATTGAAGGCACTCTTTACAACCTCAATGAAGTCCCTGGTATTGAACGTGTAGGTGCTTTTGAATTCGAATACTGATAAAATGTATTCCACGATCTGATCAATTGGTGTCTCCTCGCTCTGCTTATCAGTCACGTAGATCAGCCTCTTCAACTCCGCCGGTGATATCTTGCAGCTGAATAGCTCCTCGTAGAAGACATTTGGTATCTTCCTACCGAATATTTTGTGGATATCAGAAGGCGGACTCATTGGATCAAGGGGCTCAACAACCCCATTCAGTGACATTATCGGATGCCACCTGCAATTGAGATAGGCCTCATTGATCTTCTTCTTGTACTCCTCATTTGCCTCAATCTTCCTTTTAAGAGGCGAGATGAACATCCGTATGTCATCATTGTGATCACTTTGATCAAGCATCTCCTTCAGCACCTCATTCGAGTAGTTGTTCGCTATTTCAGGCAGCGTGGGACAGAAGTCGCATCCGCTTGCAATTGCGAATATCCGAAAGAATCCTCGTTTCAGTCCAAGCGCCTGTTCGATTTCAGACCGCTTGAAAATGCAGCACATGGCCGTTTTGAAGTTGAATTCAACCACAACGGAATTCACGTCCCTGAATAGGAACGAATCGGTTTTCGTGAAGATGTAGTCCACGCAATTCTGCTTAACGAAGTAGACACACTGTGCCACTGCGCTGTATGGTGCTCTCATGAACGCAATTTTGTGCTTCTCAAGCAATTTGTTGATAGGAATCACCAACAGTTCAAGAAATGCCTCACTTCGACCAAATTTCATTTGGCCATGAGAATAAATCGTCTGTATGTCCATCAGACACAAGTCAGTTTGACTTGTGAACTCCTTCTTGTAGTTCAATCCATCCCAGATCCAGAGCACGCTTGAGCTCTGTGCCAGCTCTAACAAGTGGCGCATGTTTTTATGCACATATCCTTCGAGATCTCCAATGAGCTCGTCCCTTTTGATGGCCTCGAAGTACTTTCTGATGAACCAGAATCCATCAATCGCAATGCTGCTCTCCTTCAGAGCTGGTAGCGGCCATTCACAGATTATCGGAAAGTCTTTAAGTGCTCTAATAGGCATATGGGTTAAAAAGTCTGAAATTTTAAAATACAGGCGTATTGTTCCATAAAGTACGGTGATTTGATATTATACGGCTGATCTCTTCTACAATTATTTTTATCAGTTATTGAGGCATCATATTTGTGTATTCCCTAACATTTAATGATTTCCATAATCATCTCCTAAGAATCCAATACCATAATCACACTCTATATTTCAACGTCCTATTTAGTGATCAGCTACTCTGAGTCTTATTGCTGCTATGATCACCTAAATCTACATTATTAATTTTAATACTTCATTTACTCCCATGAAAACATTTCAGATCCAAAATGATCCAGTTTTGGGTAAAAACGACATTATGTACCACGTGACACTGCTGGGATCTCAAGGATGCGGAAAGACGGCCTTTTTGAATAGGTTGAAGAACACCCAAGAGACAAATGTGCCGATAGAGGAACTTTCGAAGTTAAAAATGAACAAAATGACGATAAAAATTTTTGATTCAAAGGCAAAATCAATTTATCTGAGATTATTTGATCCAAGTGGCCACGAGGACTTCGTCAGAGTGCGGGACCTTACAATCCCGTCTTCCGATTACCTGATACTGCTCTTTGATGTGAGCAATTCTGACAGTTTCGAAGAAGCAAATCAAGTATTCACTAAAATTATATTTCGAAAGGGGAAACTGGGATCGAGAGTTGTTCTAGTTGCATCCAAAATCGACCTGTTTGATAAGAAATCAGTCACAGATGCAAAGACAGAAGAACTAAAGAGGTCACTCAATGCACTTGAATACGTGAAATGTAACTCAATCAGTGGCCTAGGCATAGATCACACAGTTCAGGTTATTATAAAGGACATTTTGAAAAGAGAGAGTGTTGATACCACACCATGGTGGAACTTCTGCTGCTGCACTCTCTGATTTGTTAGCTTTCAGAGCAGCAGCCTACGAATAAAAGAGTTGATATTTTTGAATACACATTTTAAGCCCATGAAACTCAATGAAATTTTAGACGAAATCACAGTAAGATTCGTAATAAACACGAAGGAGTTCGCGCTCATTGATACGGACTACTTGTTTCTTCTAGAACAGGCATACTGGTTCGCAGTGGACTTCTACGGACTGGATAAGATCCAATACAAGCAGTTCTGTTTGCTTGTTCTGAAACACAATGGATTATTCGATAATCTGAATGATGTGAATGTGAATAGCAACATAAGTGAATCAATGAGTGAAGTATTCAAATCAAAGGAGCCTACTGCGGCCGTAATAAGCAAAGCAACAAAAATACAAAACAATGCAATTTTGAACAATTTCCATAAGGAATGTGAGGACTTCAAGAAGTACAAGCAGAGTGTGCTAGTTTTTGGTGCAATTCTGTTCAATGGAGACATGTCAAAGGCACTGGTTGTAAAACAGCACAATACGGGGAATATGGCATTTCCAAAGGGAAAGAAGAACGAAAACGAGTCAGGTGAGGAGTGTGCAATACGCGAAGTGTACGAGGAGATTGGATACGACATTTCTGACAAGATTGGCAGTCTGAGTGTGAAGATATTCAACAAAATAACACTTTTCATCATTCTGAATGTTCCAGAATTCACACACTTTGAACCAATTGTAAGGAATGAAATAGACTCAATATTCTGGGTAGATGTTGAGAACGTGCCACAGAATGTGAAGTTCAAGATAGTTGCAACGGCCTTGAACGAGGCCAAGGGGCTGATGAGCCTGTTCAAACAGAATTCATTCAAATTTAGAAATATGGATGCAATACTGGATGGAACCGAAGAAAAGGAAGAGAGAAATGACGGAAGAGAAAGAAACACGACTATTTGTAACAAAATAGGCAAATATATCACAGCACCAATTCCAAGACACGCCAGAACGATGGAAGAGTTGGAAATTCACAAAACCATATAAATTCATGCATTGTTAAGCTTATTTATGCAAACAAAATCAATGAGCCCTGAATGAACATCAAAGAGAACTTGAAGAAGAAAATCATCAAGGATGTGTTACGGGTCTACAAGGCCGATTGGTCTGTTTTGGTCTACGACAAGGCTGCTGGCGAGATCATGGTCGACCTGTTCACGAAGAGCGAGCTCAATGACCACACCATTTCGGAGGCATTCCTAATAGGCGCAAACAAGCCAGAATGGGACTTCCCAGCCGTCTATTTCGTGGCTGGAACCAATGCAAACTACGACATCATCAACAAGGAATTCAATAACAAGACATTCAGTAAGTATTGTGTCGTAACCATTGAGGAGATTGACCCAGTCACAAACCTAAATAGCCTCATAAAAGTAACAAACATAAAGTGCAATATCCGAATCCAGGAGGAGCGGATCTTCCTGGCCTCTGCCAATAACGCCTGTCTTGCAATGGAATTCATCCTCGATACCAAATTCACTATTTATAAAATGCCATGCATCAAGCACACTCTGCCTTTCAGCAAGGCGGACGAGAAGGAGCACGTGGCCGAGTTCCTGTTCCTTGACCGCTCATTCGACCTGTTTACGCCGCTTCTGCACTTCTTCACGTTCCGATCGGTGCTTGCTGAAAACGGGTCGACCAAAATTGACGATGGATCGAAGCTGTACAAGAGCATCCGCTACAGACACATGGCTGACGTGCACAAGGTGCTCCAATACAACATCAACAAGCTGAACGAGAACATGGAGAAGCTGAACAAGAACCTCTCGACGTCTGAATTGAGCAAAATGGTCCTTGATGCGCCTGAAAATATCAAATTGAAGGCGTCAGTTGAGAAGTACTCCAACTTCCTGCGACAGGCGTTTGACAAGCTCGAGAACCTCCAGGAGCGCATTTCCGAGGATGAGAACTTCTGTAGCCTGATTGAGAGCGAGATGGCCCTTTCCACTGGTGAGAAGAACGGTAAGGCCGTTACGATCGACCTGAGCATGCTGTTTGACTTGCTTGCGAGTGCCAGATTGCACAAAACTGACAAGCTGAGACTGCTCTACCTGATCAAGTACAGGGGCGTCTCTCTGACAGTCACCGAAAGAAGCATTTTGAAGCAAAGCGGCTACTCAGCCGAGGACATCGACCTGAAAATCAAACTCGACAACAAGTACAAGAGAACCAAGCAGCCGCAATTCAAGTACGACATATCGCGATTTGAGCCACTGCTCGTAGACATCGTCAACGACTGCGTCGTAGGGGACTTCAAGTCGTACCTGGTGAAAGCCAACAACCTTCAGGCACGGACGAGTGAATCAGAGAAGCATTTCAGTCTCAGAAAGACGGCGATGCTCACGATAAGGAAGAAGGACGTGAACAGAAGAAAGGTCGTCGTCTACATCAGAAACGGAATAACGTACGAGGAATGCAGGCTGGCCTACGACCTATCTGATGCACTTGGAATCGACCTGATTCTGGGAAGTGATCGGATGCTTGAGCCAGGATACGCCATTGATCTGATCAAGAAGAAGTACGCCAAAAGGGCAGAAAGAGAAGGAGGCAGTCGCAGTTAGCGAAACCAAACTTTTTGCCCAAAATGGCAGAAAACAAAAGCATCTACGCCTTCAGACTCAGGGACTACCGAAACAACGAGTTCAATCTTGGGCTATTCAGGAACAAGGTGATCATAATTGTGAATGTGGCAAGCAAGTGCGGTCTCTCTGAGACGAGCTACCGCAAGATCAAGGAGACCCTCGACAGGCACAGAAACCAGGTCGTCTTCGTTCTGTGCCCGTGCAAGCAGTTTCTGAAACAGGAGCACGACGACCCAAATGAGATCTCCCAATTTGTTGAATCGAAGCTACGGGGCCACTACGAGCACGTCGAGGGGGTGGCTGAGAGCAACATCAGCGTTGAGAAGGAGGTGATCACGGAGAAGACGAATGTGGTGCTCACTGAGACGATCCATGTCCGGGGATCCAACATCGATCCACTCTTTGACTTTCTGATCAGTAAAAAGGGCGGATTCATCACGAACACCATCAAGTGGAACTTCAGCAGCTTCCTGGTTGATCGAAATGGCGAGGTTGTTGCCAGATACAGCCCAATGGACTTCATCACGTGGAACGACCCGAAGCTCGAGGCCGCCCTTGAGAGGAAGAATCAGCCCTACATTTGTTAGGCTGGTTCCCAGGTGACTCGCCTAAATGGCCAGGACCTTAATTTCTTGGTTTCGTGGCGCAATAGGTTAGCGCGTTCGACTGTTAATCGAGAGGTTCTGGGTTCGATCCCCAGCGTGACCGTCTTTTTTGGTCTTTTTTAGCCCCAGATGTACGAGCTATACAGGACGACAGTCGTGGGCAGAGCCATGATGGACTCGATTGACGAGAAGGTGCGGAACAACGTCCTGACACCCGAGCAGGGCATTCTGATTGCGCAGAAGTTCGATGAGATCATCCCGCGGATATTCGAGCGAGTCACAAACACGATTGGATTCAAGGGGAAGATTGTCTCGTACAACTTCGTGGACGGAGTCTGGAAGTTCCTGTGCAAAGACCTGATGCTGAACGTGAACAACACGTACTACAACATCCCGTATACGCGAATTGTGGCATGTGATGCCGACACGAGTGCAGACGGAGGCAGGCGAAAGAGGAGAATCGGTAAATAGTGGCAGCCAATGGCTACTTGAAGAGACCTTAAAAATTATCAAAATTTCACCCATCATGTTCAATTGGCAGAATAACAACCAGCAGAACCAATCGAATCAGAGTGGCCAACAGAACAGCTCATTTGGGTTTGGAAGCACGAATCAACAGAATCAGCAGAATAAGCCACTACAACTTGGATTCAGTGGTCAATTTGGGCAGAATGCATCGACAAACCAAGGCAGCCAATTTGGGCAAAATGCCCCTATGAACCAGTTTGGTCAATTTGGTGCACCATCTCAGCCAAATCAACCAAATCAGCCAAATTCATTTGGTTTTGGCAGCAATTCGGGTGGTTTCTCCAACACCTCCTCATTTGGTTCCTCTACCTCAAATCAGCCCAATCAGTTTGGAACTGGCTTCAGCAGCACCAACTCCTCGTTTAATCAAAATAAGCCATTTTCATCATTCAACCAAACTGGCACAACCAGCCCATTCAACAAAACGAGTAGTGGAATCTTTGGAAGCACACAGTCGAGTTACACGGGGACACAGCCCCAGTTTGGCACTGCCCAATCCACCTCATTCACCAAACCAACTCAATTTGGCAGTTTCAGTAGCTCATCACAGCCACAGTCTCAGCCTCAATCCCAATTCACTCAACCATTTCAGTCTACCCCTTTTGGTGCAAATAAACCAGCTCAACCTACGCAATTTGGTGCTACCTCGTCACAGCCACCCTACGCAACAACTCCATCTGCCTGGAACACGACCAACACGTGGTCAGCACCAGGAAACAGGGGCACCCAGGCAGCACCGTACAGCGAGACACGGGTCAAGGACGATAACAGGAATCTGAGTCTGATTGACGCAACTGGAATGGTCTGTTACAGGGAGAAGAGCAACGATGAGTTGAGGAAGGAGGACTACGATTTAGGAAGGAAGAATGTTCCAACGAATGCGACTGCTACGACCACAACCAGTCCATTTGGAAGCAGTGGCCCAACTGGAAACCAGGCCAATTTCACCAGTCAGCCCAACCTGATGAACACAACCAGCCCATTTGGTCCACCATCACAGGGCCAACCAGCAGCAACCAACCCGTTTGGCCAACCTGGTTCAACTCAGCCCCAAAACCCGTTTGCATCAAACCCATTCACTCCCACACTAACTACCCCTACTACCAACCCATTCACCAACACACTAACTACCCCTACTACCAATCCATTTGGTAATCCACCTACTACCAACCCATTTGGTGCCACCTCACAAACCAATCCACTCAGTCACAGCAGTCTCCACCAACATGGACCACAAACCAGTGTCAATCTCAGTGATCCGTACCTGATATCCCACATCCAGTTTCCAACTCCTCTTCCTACGAAACCAGCCGTGAGAATCAGTCTCCCTGAACCGATATTCAGCAGAGCCAGGGGCGAGGAGGAGTTTGAGATTGAGATTCGTCCACCCAGAAAGTACCTGAGCAGAAGCATCTACACAATTCCAGAGGACATTGAGGATGGAAAGGTGGTGAGCAGACTGGTGATTGGGTTTGAAGGAAAAGGGAGAATCGAGTACACTGAGCCAGTCACATTCAGCAGAAGTGGACTCGATGACATCATCGTCAATGGAACTGACGTGGTGATCAACGATAAAATTGGAACAGGGTACAACAAGAGGGCACGTGTTGTGATTGAGGGTGTCTACCCGTACAGTCGCAGCAGTGGCAGTCACATTCGTGGGAAGCAGGAGACGTGGCCAAACAGGGGGCTGCAAGAGAGATTCATTTACGGGCTGAAGAGTGACATCAACAAGAAGTACGTTGACTACGACTGTGAGAATGGGGTCTACGTCTACGAAGTAGAGCACTTTTGACACAATAACTATTTTATGAATAATTCTAGCTATCACCAGTCCAATCTATCATATTCCACCTGTTTCTCCTGATGACGTCCTTGTAGTTGATCTTGGCCATGTTCTTCAACTCACCATCGTGCTTCCTCGTGATGTTTCCAATCTTCTCCTTCTTGTTTCTCTTGAATCGCCTGCTTCTCTTTGTCTCGTCCATGAACACGAATGTCTCCCTGTATTTGGTGCTGATTGTGGTGGTCTCAGTCGTCTGGTTGCCTGAATCGAGTCTGATGCACGGTGTAGGCAGAACCAGTGCTGATACAATTGCAGTCAGTGGAGTCCAATACCACGTATGGGCCATTAGTTGGAATGCTGCCACCCTGAATGGATCAGTCTGCCCATTCATGTTTCTGATGCTCAGAATGGCCGATCTCCCTCCCAATTCCATCAGTGATCTCCCCAGTGATGCGCCAATCTTCACGCACTTTGAGTCGACTCTGTTTGCGATGGTTGAGTTGAGCCACTTTGCTATTCGTACGAAGTTGGGCGTGCTGCTCTTGTTGGTGTAGTCGACCTCGTTGTACTGCTGTAGGGCTATTCCAATTCCAATTGCTGCCTGCTGTTTGACCAGGTCTTCTGTGTCGAAGAGAAGGGCTTCAAGGAGGCCGATCACGGTGGCAGCCTCGGATTCATCGACTGTCTCGGTGCTGAAGAAGCCCAGGCAGATGGCTGCTGCTGCCCTGACATGCATTGAGTGGGAGGTAGCAAGTGGAATCATGATCTGTCTGATCAATATTGTGTTGTAGCCTATCACCAGTCCAAGGGCAATGACTGCGTGTCTACGAGTGTCATCTGATCCACTGTTGACGTGCTGGAGTATCTGATCAATAACTGATAAGTTGCCTGTATTAGCATATGATGCACCCAGCCTATGAAGTAGTTCATCCAAATGTAGGTTGTTACTGTTATTACTGTTGTTACTATTACAGTTGTTAACCTTACTGTCGTTCTTACTATTACAGTTGTTAACCTTACTATCGTCATTAGTTATTATTGTATTACCCTTGTTATTCTTATTACCCTTACTACCACCCTTACTATTGTTATCACCCTTACTACTATTGTTACTTCCCATTCCTGTTATCATCCCCAGTGCCAAATTCACTACTCGTATCACCCTCTTGAAATCAGTTGATCTCCTGATCTCCCTAAGGTACTCTACGACAGTCATGTCATTGGTGCCAGCGTAGACCAGTCCAATCGAGTAGCAGGCTGTCTCCTGCGCCAGGGTGCTGTACTTCTCAAAGAGGAGACGTGTCCTCTGAAACAGGTCGTAGTCTCCTGTTCCAAACTTGAGAATTCCTAGGGCGAGATACGCCCCAAACAGAACACACTCGTCAGATGGG